GACCTTGATTTGACTAGAGAGACACCAGAGACCCCATTTTTTCTCTCCAGGTAGCCAGATTCAATAGAAGATTTCTATACCTTTGAGGATTAGCAAAGGAATTAAAATGATTATTGGTTTTTTTTTGCTAGGAAAGATTCGCTCTGAGCTAACATCTGCTGCCAATCTTCCTCTCTCTTTTTTTCTCCCCAAAGCCCCAGTACATAGTTGTATACTCTAGTTGTAAGTCCCTCTAGTTCTTCTATGTGAGCCGCTGCCACAGCATGGCTACTGACAGACAAGTGGTGTGGTTCCATGCCTGGGAAATGAACCTGGGCTGCCAAAGTGGAGCACGCCAAACTTTAACCACTAGGCAATCAGGGCTGGCTCTAAAATGACACAGAGTAAAAAGAAGATAGCATGCTCAGAAGGAGCTGAAAAGTCATTTCATAACAAAGTTGATATTTGCTCTCTTCATTGCACTATAAAACCAGGAAATGACAAATAAATTCAAATGTTGAGGAAAGAATGAACCAAAGCAGTAAGGGCTGGTGAGTCTCAGGTTGGTTTTCCCCAGAATCTGACTCTGAGGCAAGGATTCGAGTGCAAGTAGTTTATTTAGAAGGTACAAAAAGAAACAAACAAAAACCTCAGTAGGAGAATGAGGAAGTTACTAAGGAAGTAAGACAAGGAAGGCAAGGCAGCCAATAGAGTATGTTATTAAGTCTGTTACCACTGTGGGTGACTGGAACCTAACTGTGCTGGGGAAACTCTGAGAACCAGTATAAAATACACACACACCTCAGTTATTCTACCAAAGACAGAAGGAGCTGGAATATTTAACCACCAACTTCTTTCAGGCATTGAGTGAGCACCACTCCTCAAGGGCATTAATTCCCTGGCACTTCTCGCCTGCTGCTTAAAAACCAGTGGCAGTGGGCTCCAGTGGCAGAATACCCTAAACAAACAAAGTCACTCTGCTTACCAAAAAACAAAACCAAAAGCAACAGTTTTACCTGTTGGTCCCAATATTTATTCCTTTTCCAGGTTTTGCATTTGTCCTTTAATCCACTCGTTTTTTTGTGTGTGCGGTTCTTTGTCTCTCTATACTGACAATTTACAAAATCACATTTTCCCAGGTTTAAATTTAAAAAGTTGTTTCCCATTAGTACATTGCAGTGTCTTCCTAACGATGCCATTAAATATGAATACAGAATTTTATGAATAAAAAAAATGTGGTGAGGGCTAGTAGGTTGGAAGTAGGGTTGCATGCACTGAAGTGGTAAAGGTGAGGGTATTTGGGCAGCGCGTCCACAGCACCTGCCACAGCTGGGGAGGGAATCACATTTTGGAGACAGAGAGAGAAATTACTTTCCAGAGAAAGATTTGTATGATTTTAGAAGGAAAATATGAATATCATGATTTAATTTATTCCAAAATTACTCAAACTATATTCCTGAGGGCGACACTAAAATTCTTGTCAAAAATAATATTCCTTTGATGCTGTGCCTTCAGAAATAATCTGTGAAGGCAAAAAGGGACTGGCAATGCACAGTCTTTGCATAGAGCATTTTTATTCACTTTAAATTAATGCAAACCCGAATATTATCATCTGATCCTATTTTCTTTAGCATGTTAAAGGAATTACATTAAATTATTTGTGCTAAATGAGAAAGTACTCTGAATGAGAAAAAAAGTAATGGATCGTATGCTGAGAATAACCTATGGATTAATATTTAAAGTTTCTCAAGAGATGATGTCATAATAAAACTCCCTAGGACAGATAGTATAATGGCATTAGTCATAGATTTCCGGAAATGCTGATCCAACATCTTTTAACACTGGAGGCTTTTTATTTATAGAAACCCATAATAATTATTGATCCAAAATAAGCTCAGGTTGTGTTTGATTCTTTCTTAATATTCCATGATGGAATGGTATAATTTTTGGTAATTATCTTTTTAGTCTAGTCCATAACCATCATATCTTGATGTTTTCACTTTTATAAGTTTCTCATATCTCTGCAAATGTTGAAGAATTTTGGAGAATATAATTTGACAGGTTAATTTTAATGCCAAAGATTGTCATAATTTAATATTACCAGGGAGAAATGAATATTCACTTTTCCAAAAATACAGAAGGAAATGACTTACTCTTGGAGAACTTTAAAAAATGATACACATGAATATTTTAAACTTAATGTCATTTCTATGAATCATAGCTGAATATAATACTGTAAATTTATAGAGTAGGGTTGAAAATTTTTGGTTTTTGGGCAATCTTTATTTTTTCATATCTTTCTGGTCCAAAAATCTGAGCATCTCACCTACTTCCAAGCAAAGATTTAATAGTAGAGGTGAAGTAAGTTCTCATTACTAAAACTTCATTAATTTTATAAACATAATATATATAACATAAAACATTCACTAGTACTATGAAAATAAGCCACAAAAGTATTTTCTTTTCTTTTTTTTGAGGAAGATCAGCCCTGAGCTAACATCTGACAATCCTCCTCTTTTTGCTGAGACTAGCCCTGAGCTAAAATCCATGCCCATCTTCCTCTACTTTATTTATTTATTTATTTTTGAGGAAGATTAGCCCTGAGCTAACTGCTGCCAATCCTCCTCTTTTTGCTGAGGAAGCCTGGCCCTGAGCTAACATCGTGCCCATCTTCGTCTACTTTCTATGGGACGCCTACCACAGCATGGTGTGCCAAGCGGTGCCATGTCCACACCCAGGATCCGACCGGCAAACCCCGGGCCGCTGAGAAGCGGAATGTGCGAATTTAACCGCTGCGCCACCGGCCGGCCCGTTCCTCTACTTTATATGTGGGACGCCTACCACAGCATAGCTTGATGAGCGGTGCCATGTCCGCACCCGGGATCTGAACTGCCCAACCCCAGGCCGCCAAAGCAGACATGCGCACTTAACTGCTGCACCACTGGGCTGGCCTCGCGACGAAAGTATTTTAAATTAAACCACATTTAAAATAATTTAGCCAAGTACTGTCCATGAATAGGAAGCCTTGACGTTTGATTTTAAGCAAATCAACATTTTTTCAAGTTGTCAATATTATTCTAGAAATAATTAGCATTAGTTAGGGAAACTATTCTTGATTCATCATAGGAAAAAGTTACAGAGAGCATCAAGTTATAGAATCTTATTATTCGGTGTCCTTTTTTTAACTTAAGCTTCTGATTATTTAGAAATACGTAATGAAATTTCCTCCTCCTCTTTTTAAGAATCTTTTATTGCTGAGTTCCTACAAACTGTTTCTATGAAATTTGCAGTGACTGTCAGTAGTGCTTGGCAAATGCACCATTGTTAAAACCGGCTTTGAAAAACAGGTTTCTGTACAAGTGGTTATGCAGTGAATAATTTCTCCAGGAAGGCATTGCTGCAGTATTTCTATGCTATTATCAGGAGTCCCCTTGTCAGTTAATATATATTTCACACATAAGGCCTAACACTTTTGGAGATGCCTTCTGAGTTGGCAACCAAGCTAACGCTATAGAGTGAACTATAACAAACTGTACCTCAAGAAGGTTCTGTCAGTTGCCTGAAATTAATGAAAGTCCTTAAAAATTACTTCGTATTTTTATAGCATCCCATTTAGGCATGTAATAAATGTTCAATATAAATTTGCTGAATTAGTACTTTTGTTGTTGTTAATAATAAAAAATGAGTCTCTAGATCCACCTAGCAATTTATGGGAAATACAGAGGGCAGAAGAATGTGTTAAGCTACCCCATAGGAATTCAATCAGCAAAATCCATATCCTGGAAGATGCTACAGATCAATGATCCAGTTTTGCCAACCAATTGTAAGGGGAATAAAAAGAGGTGAATGGGGAACCTACAGACTAAAAAGAGGTAAAAGCCATATAAAAGTAATAGGTGAAATTAAACCATAGTGTTTATGGATACATGTTCACGTGATGAAACTATAAAGTAATGAAGTGATTATCGTAAAAGTCAGAAAGTATGGTTATCCTTAGGAGAAGGGGAGCAGGTGGAGGGCTTCTGGAGTGGTCAGCCATGGTTCTTTTTCTGACATGGATGGTAGTTACAAAGGTGTCTTGCCTTATAATAATTCATTAAACTGTATATGTTGTGTTTTTGTTTTTGTTTTGCTGAGGAAGATTCGCCCTGAGCTAACATCTGTGCCAATCTTCCTCTATTTTGCATGTAGGTTGCCACCACAGCATGGCTGATGAGTGGTGTAGTTCCATGCTCGGGATCTGAACCCACGAACCTGGGCCACTGAAACAGAGCACACTGAACCCAACCATTCCACTACAGGACCGGCCCATTGTATATTTGTTTTATATGGTTTCCTATAGATGTGTTATACTTAAAAATAAAAAGTTTAAGAAATAAACAACAAGAAATACATATATTTTCAAGTTACGAATTTGATATCACGACCGAGTTGAGAAGTGTCCAGTAGCACACCATAATATAGCATCTCTACAGACAGATACAATAGATATAAATAACATCAATATTATAGATAATAGTAAAATGTAGTAAAATAATTAGGAAGTGATGAATTTTGAGTAACTAACTGTGCTTTTAATATAATAGTTTACTTAATCGTAAATTTATACAATTTAATTTCTAACAATGTCTGTATTTAACAACTGGCTCATAAAATTCCTGGAAATTTAACAACCAGCTTGAGCAAGCTAAGTATGAGCTGCTCCAGCACACTCCTATCTGCATCCCAACAATTCTCCTGCTTTCTTATATTTTTTAAAAATTTAGTTTTTAAAATCAAACACATACTTGCATAGTTTTAAAAGTCAAATAGTTCTACAATGATTGCTTTTTTTTTTGAGGAAGGTTAGCCCTGAGCTAACCATTGCCAATCCTCCTCTTTTTTTTTTTTGCCGAGGAAGACTGGCCCTGAGCTAACATCCATGCCCATCTTCCTCTACTTTATACGTGGGACGCCTACCACAGCATGGCTTTTTGCCAAGTGGTACCATGTCCGCACCCGGGATCCGAACTGGCGAACCCCAGGCCGCCGAGAAGCGGAATATGCGAACTTAACCACTGCGCCATGGGGCTGGCCCCTACAATGATCGTTATAAAGTCCACTAGACTCCTGTTCCTCTTTCCCCCAGTTTTTGATCCTTAGAGGCAACTGTTTCAATTCTTTGAACTGATTCTGTCTTTACATGGCTGTCTTTTTATAAAGACACCAGTCCTATTGGATTAGGGGCCCACCCTACACTAGTATGATCTCATCTTAACTGATTACATCTGTAACAACTCTATTTCCAAATAAAGTCACTTTCTGAAGTACTGGGGGTTAGGACTTCAACCTATCTTTTCCGGAGGACAGGACGAGACACAATTCAACCCACAACAGTGGGAAGGGATTTGGTGTTCTAATTACTTCTTAAACAGATTTTAAGTGAATTCCTTCCCCTTCGCCTCTCACGTCCAAACATAACCTGTTTGCTGTTGCCAATTCTTCAGTCTTCCGGGGGTCCCACTGTGTAAGCTGGTTTGCTTCTTAGCTTTCCGCAAGGCCAGTTTAAGATAGTGTTTTCTCAGATCTGGTACATCAACTACCACTCATAAGTTTTCCAACTGACAAAATTTTGCTACTGTTTTCCCTGATCTCTCTTTATCATTGAAGGTTCATGCCTTAAAAAAAATCTCTTTACTGTTATTTTAGAAGGGCTTGATGGGGGCAGAGATTAAGATAGATATTCAAGTCAGCATTTTTAGCCAGAAGGTCTTCTACATGTATCTTCATTATCTCCTCTTCCATTGGTGCCTTCTTTCTTAATTCTGTCGCATCTCAAACCACAACAAAACCTTTAAGGGAAAGAATTTCTCTAATCTCTATACAGTCATGCCTTGCTTAACAACGGGGATATGTTCTGAGAAATGTGTTGTTAGGCGATTTCATCGCTGTGTGAACATCATAGAGTGCACTTACACAAACCTAGATGGTATAACCTACTACACACCTAGGGTATATGACACTGATCTTATGGGACCACTGTCATTTATGCAGTCTGTCTTTGACTGAAACATTATTATGTGGTGCATGACTGTACATCTGAATAGTGGAGGGATAGAAAGAGATGGGGTAGGGAGAGAGAGAAACAGATGTGGCTGATTCCTACTCTATGATACCACTCTGCCTCCATGAAGTGGACAAGCAAATGTCAGTACAGTACTCACCACTCAAAAGGAGAACGGCCAGAAAGCAATGTGATAATGCATATGAATAGCTATAAAAATGTTTAAAATCTCTGGTGCAGTAAGTAGTACCACTCACTCTGAAGATTTAAGGATATAATTCAACAGAATGAAGTGACAATGTGGACTTTCATTTATGAGAAAATGGTAGACTAAGTATTCTGAAAAACCATCCCACTGCAAAAACCATAGAAACCCTAGATAAAATACAAAAAAACCCATCTTTTAAAAGGTAGAGTTGAGTTTGTAAGAAGGAAAATCCTCAGGGGTGAAAATAAAGAAGGAGCTACAAACCAGCCTGGGAAATGGCTGATGACCACGAGCACATTCATGACTCCCAGGAACCTAAAGTCTTGGGTTTTAATGATCTCATATGTGTGGAGACAGGATCTTGGGCTCAGGGAAGGTAGGGAATTGGAACTGAGACCTCTGCATAAAGCCAGACTCTCAAAGGACAGTAAGGTGAAACGAAATGGAGATAGAAGAGAGACAATGTGGGAAGGTCAATCATCTTCAGTATACCTGAAGAGCACAAAATACAAAGAGAAAATCTTAAAAGCTGCCAGAGAGAAAAGAGAGAAGCTAAAAGGAACAACAACTAGACTAGCAGCAACGGTGGGACAATGACTTCAGATTGCTGAGAGAAAACCACTGGCAAGGCAGAATTTAACACCTACTTAAAGTTTGTATTTAAGAATATGGGTGAAATGAGGACATTTTCAGAAAACCAAAAACTGAAAGAGTTATCACCAAAAGATGCTCATTAAAGGAGCTTTTAGGAGTATACATCAGGATAAAGAAAAACAATCCCAGAAGGAAAGTCTGAGATTCATAAAACAACAATAATGTCTAATTTGGAGGTTAAAAACAAGATGGTGCTAAAATATTGGATAACAATAATTTTTAAGACAAGAGGATGGTGATTAGCATTTTAAGGCCCTTGGATAGTTTGAGAGGGGGATGGAGATATTGATTTAGACTTTAAGTACACATGCTAAAATTTAAGAGTAATCACTAAGAATAGAAATAGAGTGTATAACTTGCAAAACAATAGAGGGGGAAATGTGGAATCAAAAGAAAAATCTAAAAGAAAACAGGAAAGGGGGGGAAAGACATAGAAAAAGCAGGACAGACAGCACAAAATAAAATGGTAAAGATAATTCCATATATCAACAATTAATTAAAATCACAACAAAGTATAAATGGTCTAAACTCACCAGTCAAAAGAAAGATATCCTCAGATTGGATTAAAACAAAACTAAACATTCCAGATATTTGCTGTGTCCTAGAGAAAACCTAAAACACAAAGACATGGTATATCAGAATAATTAATGTTAGCTGCTGTAACAAACAACCCCTATGACTGTTGGGGCTTAACACAACAAACTTTATTTCTTGCTCACATCACAGTTCATCAGGTCGGGCTGCTGCTCTGGCTGTTGCTCCTTCAATCAATGACAAAAGAATCCGGGATCCTTCAATCCTAGTTCTACCATCTTGGAGTTGTTTGCCTTGAGCCATGTGAACAGGGGAGAGAGCACATCAAAGACCATGTATGACATTTTAGGGGCCAAACCTAGAAGTGGCATACATCACTTCTGCCCACATTCCTCTGGTGGTCTCAACATAACCGCAAAAAGAGTAGGGAAATGTAGGACTGAGCATTTACCCAGTCTCTGACACATAAAAAGGTTGAAAAGAAGAAAAGATGGGAAAGGATATGCCAGGCAGACACTAACCAGAAAAAAGTTAGAGTGGCTCTGTTCCTACTGGACCAAATAGCCTTCAAGGCAAAAATGCACTATTAGGAATAAATATAGTAATGACATAATGATAACAAATTCAATTCACCAGGAAGAGACACTAATTCTGAAGTTATATATGTACCCAATGATATCTTCAAATAACATACAGCAAAAACTGACAGAATTATCAAGAGAAACTAACAAGTCCACCACCATAGTAGGATATAACATATACCTTTCTCAGTAATTGATGTCACATGACCAAAAATTAGTAGAATACAGAAAATACGAACAATACAATTAACAAGCTTGATCAAAAGGACATGTATAGAATCTTGAATCCAACTACAGAGAATGCACATTTTTCTTAAGAGTACAAGAAACATACACGAAAACTGACCATATATTTGGCTATATAAAGCCAGTCTCAACAAGTTTCCCAGAATCAGCACCACACAAATCATGTTCTCTGATTGCAGGCCAATCAGGTTAAAAAATAAATGACAGAAAGATAACCAAAAGAAAGAAGACCGTGTATGAAGATGTCCACTCTAGTGTTAATTACTTACAATAGTGAAAAATTAGAATCACTGAAATATCCAATGATACGGGTATGGTTAAGTAAATTATGCCTCATTAACCCACTGGGCTATCATGTGGCCATTAAAAATTATTTTTTTAAATGGACTGTGTTTAAGATATAACATTAAAGTGAAAATTTTAAATCTATATGTCACTTATGATTAAAGCCATGTGAAAATATGTGTGCATTTAGACAGATTATAAAGATAGAAGCAAATGAAAAGTTGTTATATTATAATGATGAGATTATGTGTAATTCTACTTTTTTTTTTAAGGAAGATTAGCCCTGAGCTAACATCTGCTGCCAACCCTCCTCTTTTTGCTGAGGAAGACCGGCCATGAGCTAACATCTGTGCCCATCTTCCTCTACTTTCTATGTGGGATGCCTACCACAGCATGGCTTGCCAAGCAGTGCCATGTCTGCACCTGGGATCCGAACCGGTGAACCCTGGGCCACCAAAGTGGAACATGCAAACTTAACCACTGTGCCACCGGGCCAGCCCCAATTCTACTTTTAAAAGGATTTTCTGTGATGTGGTTACATTGTTTAATATAAATTAAAAGAATCAATAGAAGACATGATCTCTGCCTGGCAGCTGATGCTAGTTATGCTTTAATATCCATTATCTCTTTCTTTTATAACAGAGGTTTACTTGGGTACCTAACTGCCCAAAACAAGAGCATATTTCCCAGCCTCCCTTGTAGCTAGGCATTACGATGGGATTAAGTCATAGCTAATGAAATATGAGACGTGGGTGCCCTTAAACATAAAGAGTCTGTCCTTCCTTTGTCCTTTTCCTTCATCTTGTTACCTGAAATCTTCCTTACCTTTATTATTGCACATATATGGATGAACTGAATCTGATATGCATTTGATTGGATGAAGGACTGCTTTCCAATTTAATGGATGAGAATATGCGTGATTCATGAGGACAAATATGTGTTTTCTATTCAACCAGTGTCCAGTACAAGCTCTGAAAACAAGGAGACTATCCAGCCTGTTTTTGGATATCAAGTGAGGATATATTAATATTGAAGAGTACACATTTATGTTAAACATATTCTAGTGGGAATCATACACATTTACTCCAATATTCTTTATCACTTAAAAGAGTCTTTTAGCAGAGGATGAGATCCATTTATAGGCCGCCTTGCCTGAGTTAAATGAGCAATCAACCTCCACATTTTAAACGTTATACAAAATAAAAAATCATATTTTTAAAGTTCAATAATAATGTACTTTGTTTAATTATCACAGCCTCTGGGAAGGTTTGATATACTCTAATAGCCTGGATCACAAAAATATCAATAATTTCCACCATATCAGGAATGGGAATTTATCAATTCAAAAGGAAATTGATAAATATTACTCAAAACAGTCTTTATACTTGACAAATATCCAAAGTGCAACATTAAAGCAGATGCAACATTCTGCCCAGGTGCTCACAATGCTTAATAATGATTAGCTATGCTATGTCATGCCTACTGTAGCAGCAAATTCATTATTGTTTCTATTATAATTCAGAATAGGTCAATCACAAGCTGTCCTGTAAGAACAACATGCTACTAAAAACAAGACACTGGAGGCTGACTCAAGAGCAGCCTTTTATTCTGTGAATTCTAATATTTATGCTAAGCACAGCCTGTTCAGATATTTTTAAAATGAAGGAAAATCAAAACTGAATAAACGTTCCAGGGACTAATTTACTCATCATTTCTTGAAGAAAACTGTATATGGTTAGTTCGAGGGCAACTAGTTGAAATAATTTATTCAGACTAAAATTCTGTCAGTAAAAATATTTGTACCTACAGTAACACATAAAGGGCTTAAAAATCTGTCACACATTTAGTTAAGAGAGCATACTGAGGGCTTGTTTATATTTTGTTTGCCTTTAATACTCATACTCATCATTTATAGACAGACAAGCAGAGTGTTAAATAAGTTGGTTTCCTGTCAATTAGCTGTGCATTAATATGATAGAGAATTATTAATACACAAGTCTTGACACCAGGCAAATAATTCCTTTTCTTCTTTTTCCAATTTGTCATCTGATATGACTTCATTAATTTTCACAATGTCAAAAGATGGGGTAGAGAAGATGATCGTCTTTTGTTGCTTTGTACCTGGTGTGTCCATTTGCAGTTCCTAGGTAGAATTATAAATAAAAGTGGAAAGTGCTTTATATTTGCTTTTTATTACTTTATGTTTTTACATTTGACTGTTTATACTTAGCTTCATCTCAAAAAAATTTATAGCAGATCTTTTAAAAATTACAAAGTAATACATGTTCATTGTAAACATTCCTACAATGTAAGAGTATACTGAGGCAGACTTTACACAGCATACAGCTTTTAATAAGCTTAGATAGAAATGACTTCCAGGGGCCGGCCCCGTGGCCGAGTGGTTGAGTTCATGCACTCCACTTCGGCAGCCCAGGGTTTCGCCGGTTGGGATCCAGGGCGCGGACATGGCACCACTCATCAGGCCGTGTTGCAGCAGTGTCCTACATGAAACAACTAGAAGGACCCACAACTAAAAACATATAAAAGTATATACTGGTGGGATTTGGGGAGAAAAAGCAGAAAAAAAAAAGATTGGCAACAGTTGTTAGCTCAGGTGCCAATATTTGGGGCGGGGGGAAAGAAATGACTTCCATTTTGAGAAAAGCACCATTAGAGATGTGCTGAATCAACAGTGTCAACATACAGACAACAGGGTTTTTTGCCAATTCATGCTAACGCGGAGCCAAAACAGCTGGTATTTATCAGAATAGCTACTCACATTGCTTAAGAATTTTTTAAATATGTGTTACCAAAAGGAATGTAGTTTTATACTATTCAATGTATATACCAAAGGTGTTTCAGCCTTGATTGAACTATTGTAGATTAGGAAAATTCCACTTACAGAAGTAGAATTCCTTACAGTTTGAATATTGGCCAAAATGATGAATTCAGTACAAGTTAACTTACAGTCCCCGTAGAAGCACTTTTTTCTTTAGCCATCTTAGAAGCTTTTCTCATTTTTTCAACTTTCATTTTAGCTTGCTTGGATCGACGACCTAGATGTCTAATTTGACTTTGCTGTTGGTAGGGCTGATACAAAGGTTGAATACTTGAGAAGGATGAAGGGCACCTAGAAAATATTTGTATTATAGACAGAAAAACTGCACAAAGTAAAATTTGAATGTAAAGAAAGTTCCAAATTTTACTAAAGCATCCTCTATCAATCAAAGACCTCAGTACCTGGAGCAATATTACACGTAAGTTTTTAGGCCAAAGTTATCATTTCTGCTTGGGTTACATAGCAGAGTTCTTTACTGCCACTTAAGAAGGTGTAGAGATGATGACATTAATGGCAATGATGATAAAAATGATAAGATGTGGCATCAATTTAAAATCAGTTTTCTTGGAAAATACTGTGTAGTAGCCATTTGAATCGTTTTTTTTTTTTAATTAATTTATTTATTTATTTTGAGGAAGATTAGCCCTGAGCTAACTGCTGCCAATCCTCCTCTTTTTGTTGAGGAAGACTGGCCCTGAGCTAACATCTGTACCCATCTTCCTCTACTTTCTATGTGGGACGCCTACCACAGCATGGCTTGCCAAGCGGTGCCATGTCTGCACCAGGATCCGAACCGGCAAAACCCGGGCCGTCGAAGCAGAACGTGCGAACTTAACCGCTGGGCCACTAGGCCGGCCCCAGAATCTTTTCTTTTTTAAGGTGTGCTTTTTGGTGAGGAAGATTGGCCCTGAGCTAACATCTGTTGCCAATCTTCCTCTTTTTTTGTCTCCCCAAAGCCCCAGTACATGGTTGTATATCCTAATTATAAGTCCTTCTCGTTCTTCTATGTGCCATGCTGCCACAGCATGGCTTGATGAGCAGTGTGTAGGTCTGTGCCCAGGATCTGAACTGGTGAACCCTGAGCTGCCAAAGTGGAGTGCACAAACTTAACCACTTGGCCATGGGGCCGGCCCCCTGAATCTTTTTTTGTGTGTGTGAGGAAGACTGGCCCTGAGCTAACATCCATTGCTAATCCTCCTCTTTCTGCTTAAGGAAGATTGTCGCTGAGCTAACATCTGTGCTATCTTCCTCTATTTTGTGTGGGATGCTGCCACAGCACGGCTTGACAAGCAGTGCTAGATCTCCACCCAGGATCCAAACTTGTGAACCCCAGGCCACTGAAGTGGAGCATGAGAACTTAACTACTATGCCACTGGGCCAGCCCCAAATCTTTTTTTTTAATACCATATACTAACCCAAAGAAGTATTAAATTTCATAATGGCTGAAAAAAACAAGCTGTTTTTATCCATGTTGGGATCACAACTGCCAGCATTGCCCTCACTCAGCCTGAGAGTGTTCTTGTGAAAACAAGAGCCCATGTGTGGGGAAGGTCTCAAGAATTAATATCTCCCCTCCTAAGCAACACTTAACCAATGACTGATGGGTGTTGATGTATAAATATCCCAACTCCCTTGCCCCTGCGGGATAACTTGAGCTGCATGTTCTACACTGGCTCAGACATTTCCAGGAGGAAATAAGCTCCAGTTACCCACAGTAGTAACCTGTCCATTAACACACACTGTTATGGCTGCCTACCTTTCCCTGTTTCACTTCTCCATCCCCTTTCATCAGTGGTTCCAGGAATCACCTCCCAAACAAACTACTCGTACTCAAATCCTTGCCTCAGGGTTTGCTTCTGGGAGATCCCAAACTAAGCTGAATTCAAAGAAGCCTTTAAAAAAGTACTTTTCCCTCTTCAATAGATTTAGAATTTGGCTACTTATTTGGCTTTTAAGTGACTCATTCTTGGATAAATAGTAGCATGAGTCCAAATAGCAGGGAGCCTAGGGTTATACATGATGGCAGAGAAAATTACATCATTCGTTTGACCTTGGTGGTAACAGTTTAAGTTCTATATTCAGTGCTTATACGGATGAGTTAGAGAAAATCTATTTCATGGTGACAGATTGCACCCTACACCAGGCCATCTGTCTGGCAAATGTATAGCCTCGATCATAAAATAAATGGACTAAATTATGTCAGTGGGTCAGCACCACTCATCTTTACTCTCAAAAAATACCCAGTATGTTTGCTTGACGGTGGATCATCAGTGTCTTCCTCATGTACTAAAGGAGTATTTTTCATTTCAAAATATGACCATGTGAAAAGTGACTACCGATAGGTCCTCTTCAGTCTTATTATCTTTTTTTCTTGAGAAAAAAAAGCTTAATTTGTAAATAAGATAGGCTAGGTGAGACTTGATAATAGAAAGAAAAAAGGAAAATAATTGAAGCAGTCACATTCTGTCCATGTTGTTTCAGATCATAATACAGTCTATTTTGCTACAACATGTGTTTCTATAATGTGAATTGGCTCACATGCTATTGGTAAAGAAGGGAATAATGTCACTGTAATTTACACGCAATTTATCCTCGGCAAGGGAAGCCAGAATAGCAAGAGTAGAATTATAACCTTCAGCAAGAAAAAGTCCTCAGCTCTGTGCGGCATGGGCAACAGGAACCCTTTTGCTTGTACTTATGAAAACAAAAATTAGCACCTGCACCCAGGGCTCTCTCTCCAGAGAGGCACCCCGTCCAACAATCCACCCATACTGTCCTCCACCTTACTCCTCGCCTTAGGTGGTTCTTGGTTCTTGGCAGGTCGTATTGCCTCTCATGTCCACTTAAAAGGCAAACACACTGGCCCAGGGCTCCACTTCCATCTGCACTGTCTCGGTGCCCACTACCTGCTCTAATTAAAGAGTTGCTAGCATTTCCACTCTATTGTTGCACATTTTTTACATTTGTTGTGGTGGCCTCCAGCCATCCTGAGCTGCCTGTCTGGCGATACAAGTTATCTCCCCAGGTACCAACTGTCCTTTCTGTTAGTGCTCTGTTTACAAAGTTGCCTAAGTTTTGAGTAATCTGCCCCAACCCTATTTTCCCCATATGCCCTATTATTATCTTTAGTGAGCTATTTGGCAGAATGTGAATATTTTCAGAAATGCCTCTAGTATTGTAACCCTGGTGAAAGATCACTTTTACCTAATTTCAGAAACAATCTGTAGCTGGTGCTGACGCATCTCTTCTGTTTGTGGTCTCTCTAACAGATGCTTCATTTCTTTTCGTAGACGGTTTGAGATTATTCCAGACTCTGCATAATCAACTATGTCATATATTATCATTGTCTTGGGAATGTTTTTGAGGTTTAATCTCCGCCAGTAGTTATTTCTGCCACCAAAAGATGCAGGGGTCTCATCCAGAAGACTGGAATACTATATGGAAAACATAATTAAGAATGACTGATTGTGGGTGCTCTAGAATGTTTTGAGACACATTTCCCAAGGTTCTACTTAAATGTCACTTCATTCAAAAAGCACTCCTTGATCCCATCTCTGAACTTTATCAGCATCTCTCTTCTATGACTCTTATTACTGACTACTCAGTGTTTAAGCTATCTGGAAGGCAAGATCCTTGTCACACAGTATCATGCACATAGTACCACAATCACTAAATATTTATTTAATGCACAAACATTTTAATGGCAGATATAACTCAGATAAATTAAACTCAGGATAAGCCTAAAAATCGAAAATAGTTATGTGATCTGCATACCTGCTAGTGCTTGCTCATGACATGCTTGGGCTGAGAGGACATTTGCACAAACCTTTTTAGAAATAATGAGTTCATCTCCGGTACTAAATGGTGAATTCCACTATTTTCATTTGGAGTATTTGTAGAAATCCCACTTTTCTTTTTTTTTTTCTGCTTTATCTCCCCAAATCCCCCCCCGCTTCTCGGCGGCCCAGAGTTTCACCAGTTCAAATCCTGGGTGTGGACATGGCACTGCTCATCAAGCCATGCTGAGGTGGCATCCCACATGCCACAACTAGAAGGACCCACAACTAAAAATACACAACTATGTACCAGGGGGCTTTGAGAGAAAAAGGGAAAATAAAATCTTCCCCCAAAAAATCAAATTAGGAATTTAAAAATGAAATATATAATCAATTCAACCTTATAAATGTTCATTTATGATAGGAATATGGCAGGAGGAGCTACGATACTAGGAAATGGAATAGCAGCTAGGCATTTAGGGTATACCACACTCACACCCACACCCACCTCCACACCTTCACCCACACATACAGGCAGTCCTCCCTTTGTATCATTTAGGCATGCAGAAATTTCCATTAACACCATTTAATCAAATAAGCCAGTCCTCCAACAACACATTTCAAATTTCAGCTACCACAGTATACCTCAATAATTGCATAGGTACAAACTCTGCTGCCAGCTCTTCAGTCCATGGACCACTACATAAATAACAGATGTGCATGGTGATTAGTGACAAATCTTGTCACTTCTTTCAAAGTGTGTTGGTGATTGGTCACTGTGGATCTCTATTCACATACGGACAGCAGAGTACGTAGTTATGTTGCCTCTTTGTCTCCCAGTGATAAACCCATGTGGCATTTTACAAAAATGGATAATCAAGAGAGGGAATAGGCCAACAAAGAAACAAAAAGTAGTAATTCTGGAAGTGAAATTCAAATAGAATCTAAATGGAGTTTTAGAAGAAATAAGGTGACCGTGGGGATGTTGACACTGCCATCATTCAAGAGATTGCAGATAGGCAGTTAGAGGAACTTGGTGAAGGCGAACTTATCAACAGAAATGAGGAAAGCGGCTGTGACGAAAAGGATGAAGCTGTCCCAGGGGAAGTGACGCTGGCAAAAAAAAAAACCCACTTCACATTAAAGGAACTCTGAGATATTTCACAACATTTAAAATGCAAAAGATCAAATGTTGGTGGATGATCCAAAGTTAGAAAGGAGTATGACAATTTGCCAAGGCATAGAGAAGATGCTCACTCCATATTATAAGTTATATGAGAAGAAGGCAAGTACTATTTAAACTATTCTTGATGAACTGGCTTTTTTAACAGCTTTATTGAGATTCACATTCCATACAGTTCACCCATATAAAGTGTACAATCCAATGGTTTTTAGTATATTCACAGTTGATAAATTTTTTACAAAAAAATAAAATACTTCAATTCTCAATGTTTCTAATATTTTAAATTATAGTGTACTAAATAAATGTTTTGCTTTTTTCCATTTTCCTATATATTTATAACGGGCAATAAGAGAGTTTTTAACGTTTTGATAAGATTTTTTTGGAAGATTAGCCCTGAGCTAACATCTGCTGCCAACCCTCCTCTTTTTGCCGAGGAAGACTGGCCCTGAGCTAACATCTGTACCCATCTTCCTCTACTTTCTATGTGGGACGCCTACCACAGCATGGCTTGTCAAGCGGTGCTGTGTCCACACCTGGGATCCGAACCAGCGAACCCTGGGCCGCCGAAGCGGAACGTGCGAACTTAACCACTGTGCCACTGGGCCGGGCCCTTGACAAGATTTTTTAAAGGTCATGGAACAATCACAATTTTCTCCATTGATTATTAAGGTTGCTTTGCATGATTTCAGTTTGCATGGTCATTTTTATGACCCTGCACTACTGTGCAAAGTAAGGACTGCCTGTATATTTTATTTCCCAAGAGTGGAGTAGTAAAATGGATAAACATCTCAGAACTTTCAATGATCTGCTCTGCACTTATAGCTATGTGACCTTGGGCAAATTTTAAAAAATCTCATTAAACTCCATTTTTCCCATTTTTTAAAACAGTCACATAATTTACAAACTTGAAGATTAAAAGAAGATAATATGCATACAAAAGAGCTAAAAACAGTGCTGTGTCCACAAAGGGCTCAATAAATGTCAGCAATCTTCATCTCTCTCTCTCTTCTAAAATGTCTATCTGGGGACTTCTTTCTATAACACCAATCCTTGGCATAGTCACAATCTGCAAGTATGCGACCCATGTCCTCAGCAAAGATAGCTGGCATCCCCAAGCTCTACTTATTTCCTAGATCAATTTCCTAATCTTCTAAGTTAAGGTTAAAAGAAAGAAAACACAATTGGGAGTCTCTAAGGCACTGCATTAATTTCATGTTTCACATTCAAGCAACTGAAGGAGCAGTTAAGGCCATACATTATTATTATGAGCTAGAATTTTGGGATCCCTTGTTTCTTTAGAACTTGTAAAATGGGGGTAAAAATAGTACCTACCTCTTAAGGCTGTTATGAAAATAAAAGGAGTTGGTATTACATCAGCATTTGCTATTATTATTATTCAGGTATCTATTTTAAGTTCCTTGATTTAGCACTGCTGTCTCACCAGGTATGCAAACCAGAAACCAAGAAGCCATGTTGGACACCTTCCTTTAGCCTACCTCCCTGTCATCAAGGCCCACTGCTTTTATTCTCTAATTATCTCTTGCATCTCCAGCCTCACAGCCCTAAATCAAGATACCAGCATCTCTCCTAAAATACTGCAGGAACCTCCAAACTGGGAGAAGGCTCTTACTGTCCTCTAATTCATTCTCTACATTGCAGCCAGATGTATCTTTTTTAGATTGGATCACCTCTTTTCTTGAAACACTGCACCAGCTTTTCGTTGCACACAGAATCAAGAAAAAAAAAAAGATACTTTACTATGGTTGAAAGCCCTGAATGATGACCTCTTACCAGCCTTGCAGCCTGACTGCATACCACACCCTCTGTGCTCTCTCTTCTCTAGCCCCACAGATCTGCTTTCAGGCTCTGCAGCTCCTCCTGCCACAGAGCCTTTGCCTGGGGTGCACCACCTGCTCAGCCCCAGACTGAGGCTGTGACACATTGTTGATTGCCTGCCCATCAACCATTTCCCACTTCTCCCTTGCTCATGGAGCCCAGATTTTTTTTGTTAGGTATGAAACAGCAATATGCTCCAGGAAGGAGGGCCCCAGCACATGAACCATAATTGTTCTAAGTCAATCATGGGAAATGATCTCATTTCCCTTTACCAGTGATTGGTTTAGGGGTGCATGTGATTCAGGTCTGACCAATGGGATCTAAGGGGAAGTCTGTTGGGGCTTCTGGGAAAGATTTTTCTTCTTGAAATAAAGAGAGAAAGATGCTAGGAGTCCCCTTATTCCTGCCTTTGAAAGTAGTTGAGAATGTGATAGTCATCTTGTTACCATGTAAAGGAAGCCAAGAGAACTGTATGTAGAGATGTCCTTCTTCTGATGTCCTTGAGCTGCTGCATTAGCTAACCCAGGACCCATCTATCCGGGGACTTCTTACATGGGACAATAAATGTCATTTATTGTTTAAGCCTCTTGTGGTTGGGAATATTCTGTTACTTATAGCAGAAAGTATCCAACCAAAAACAGAACCCTTCCTTATTAAATCAAATTCCCGTCATGCATTCTCCTAGCACCATGCATTTAGTTTTGATTTTTTGTTGAGATAAAATTCACATAATATAAAATTCACCATTTTAACCATTTTAAAGTGTACAATTCAGTGGTTCTTAGTAAATTCATACTATATATTACCACTATCTAATACCAAAACATTTCTATCACCCCAAAAAGAAACCTCACATTCCTTAGCTATCACTTTCCAGACACAAAAAGCCACATATTATATGATTCCATTAATATGAAATATCTAGAATAGGCAAATTTAGAGAGACAGAAAGCAGATTAGTGGTTGAAAGTGGGTGAAGTGATGAAGGAAGGGGGAATGACTGCTTAATGGATGTGAGGTTTCCTTTTAAAGGTGACAAAAAGGTTCTGGAACTAGATGGTGGTGATGTTTGCATAGCACTGTGAATGTACTTAATGCCACTGAATTGTACACTTTAAAATGGTAAATTGTATACTGTATTTTACATAATAAAAAAATATATGATTCTTTCTTCTTGGAGGATAAGGTCAGAAGGCTTTTGTTGTTGTTGTTTGTTTATTTTCAGCATCTAAATCTAAGTTCCTTACTTGCATGTAATCTTTCAGAGTAACAACATCTATTTCATCAGTTACTTTGAACTTCTGGAAAAGATGTTCATCTTCCATAATTTGATGATAAAATTTCTTTTTCCCCATTATTTTGCAAGCATCAACCACTGCCTATAAAGAGAACAGAAAATAGACTTTTAAAATAGTTGTAGAATAGCAATAATTATCAGCACACCCTTTATATATTTTTTCTGAAAAATATATCAAATATTGTTCCTTCTAGTGGCTTGCTATTCAATAAAAAGACTATATTTACAAAGAGAAAATTATATATGGATGTTTAAAACACTTAAAATTTGTTTTTCATAACCATATCTACATAGTTTTAAAATGTAGCTAGAGGAATAGCTGGGTCTACAATCCTCAGAGGACTATAGTTTTTTTAAAAATCTGTTTTTCCCCCTTAAAAAACATTCTTTTCCCTTAAAAAACAAAACAAACCTACAACGTCATTGGTGCTGTCAATGCAGAGAAAACTTAGCTGGTTATTAAATAGGTTGCCCTAGGAACTGCAATGAAAGGCATTCCTGGGGCCAGCTCTCTTTTATGTGTTAGTTAATACATCATCCCAAATGGAAACATGTATGTTTCAGATTGCTTTGACCTCCCTCTCCTTCAGACTTCATTCTAAGGAGCCAAAGAGTAGCAAACAAAGGGGTTTTTCTCTCTCCCAAATGTCAACATTTTGTACTCAAGGACAGCACTTGAGAGGGCAGAGATAGAAGAATCACAGAAAACAAGGAGGCTCAAATCCTGTCTGGCCCTATTTGCACCATACCCTTCCACATATACCTATCCTTGTACTAAGAGCTATACATAGACTGTGAGTAGAGACTTAAGTACTCCCCACCCTCCTTCCCACCCCCCATAAGTATGTGCTGACTCTTCTAACACGTATTTATATTACATATCTGTGCTTCTGGCCACAAAGGGTATGCTTATATGAAGGGAGACTGGCATAGATGAAAATTCAAATATTTTTGGATTTCTCTTTTGCTTTGTATCTCAGAATGTGATATCTGTGAAAGTCTGGGAACTCTGTGTTATAATGCTGATATAAGGCCATAGAGATAAAGTGGTTGAGATAGGATCGAAACTCGGAATCTCTGTTCTTTTTACTTAACACACAATATAACAGCGAGCCTTAATGTATTCTCTATTCCAATTCTCACTTTTGTTATCCACAATATTCCTTTTTATTTATTTATTTTTCACTCAAAGCTTAGAACACAGACACATACGGAAAATGAAAGAAAATATTTAGATGGCTGTAGTTTTATTTCTAATGCACTAAATGGACGGGACAGAAACAGTTTACTAAAAATGTGATGGAAACTTCCCTTAGGCAGATCATTTTTGTTTTACGTTTCATTTATTTTTCTATACACTATGCATCTAAAGAAAAGGCAGTATTGGCATGTATCTCCATTATGCTGCCTTGTAATTAATTTCCTGTGGGTTCTAATTAACCATCCCCACAGCGACACCAAAGGTAAAAGCAAATAGTTGTACACTGAACAGGTCTGAAACCATGGAACTTCTGCTTTGAGAATTTCTTTAGATATAACTATATTTTACTTTAGCTCAAGTTACTTAGAAAAGGTATTTCTGGTCAGTTCCTCTCCTACTCTACTCCACTAAGCACCACCAACAATCTCTCCAAGCCCCAGTTTCCTTATTTGTACAGTGCCTCAGCTGTGTGGCTCAGCTGTGTCAGGCCCCGCCCAGTCTCCCAGCCAAGAAAACCTCACGCCTGGCAGCACACAGCAGGCTTGCTGTCCACTTGTGACAGGGGTTTGAAAAAAGTTTGCCCTCCAATGTCCAAGATGTTCTTTCTCAGACATCTGCCGTGTATGGTCAGATTCAGGAAAGTTCTTCTGGATAGGAATGGGAAGAACAGGATGGGAAAGAACAGCCCAGCCCCAGGAGGAAGGGAAGGGCAAAAACCAGGCAAGGATTCCAGGAGAGCAGCCAATCAGACTAGAATTCAAGAGGCAGGTTCCATTCTTAGTGGGTGACTCAAAGGTTAAGAGGGAGGCATCTCTAAATTTGACACTTCCCCTGATACCCAGCATCACTGTGGCCCAGAAGACCCCACAGCCCTGCAGCTACTTGCTGGCCTGCATCCATACTTGGGCTTGTCAAGTTACTCTAATATCTCAAGTCACTTCCGTGCTCAGCTGGAAATTCTCACTCACAAAGGTAGTAATAACTGGTATCTCTGCATGGAACAGTTTCTTAGTTTGGAACAGTACAATTATACACGGGCTCAGAATTAACAAAACCACCATAACTGCTGGTGTGGTTTCAACTTCGAAATGTGCACAGTATGGCAGAAACATGGAGAAGTGTTTAAGTCTCAGTTCTGTCCCTGACAAGCCTCTCCAAGTTCCAGCTTCCTCATAGACAGAGGAAGAATAACATGTATCTCACCCGAGTTATCAGGGGGCTGTACAAGAGAATGCATTAGCGGGCTTCCTGACTCAGGAGTGGTTAAGAGCATGGGCTCTGGAGGCAGGCTCACCAGGTCTTGATGTCAGTTCCTTCACTTTCTAGTTGTGAGACCTTAGGCAAATTACTTAGTCTTTTTAAAATGAAGATAATAACAGAATTTACATTCTAGAGTTTATGAGAATTAAATGATAATGCACATAAAATGTTTAACGTTGTACTTGATAGTGCTCAGTAAGGGCCCCTATTACTAATAATAATGTTTTTCCTTTTTACATAAATGCCCAAACCTCGAAAAGAACAGAGATCTCCAATTTAAAATAACAGTTGCTGGAAGTTAATGTTTAAGAATTGCCAGTTACCCAGAGCTATTCCAGGCCATGGTGGGGGGGGGCACCTTTAGGACAGTCCTTGTCAAATTATATTGTATGTAGGATTGCCTGGGGATCTTGTTAAAATACAGATGCTGATTCCGTGGGTCTGGGATGGGGCCTGAGAGTCTGCATTTCTCAAAGCTCCAGGCAATGCCAGTGCTGCAAGTCTGCAGACCATACTTTGAGTAGCAAGGCTTTAGAATATTCTAAATATAGTCGGTGAACTAACTATAGTGACAACCCTCTGTAAATAAGCATTGCTCTGAAAATAGATCATCGAAGTAGGTAACTGAAACAGTATCTCTTTTTTGTACACATGGCTATCCAATTGTTCTAGCACCATTTGAACTGCCTTGGCACCTTTGATAGAAATCAATTGATCATCTACGTGTGGGTCTATTTCTGAATTCTCTAATCTATCTCCTTAATCTGCATGTCTATCTTTATGCCATCACTATACTGTTCGGATTACTGTAGTTTTTTAAGTCTTAAAGTCAGATAATGTAAATCTTCTAACTTTGTTCTTCTTCTCCAAAGTTGTTTAGGCTATTCTGCATTCTTTCACGTGTTTTTGCTTTTTGTTTTTTTGTGAATATATGAGGGATGCCATTGGAAAATGATAAGGAAATGAAACTAGAAATGGAAATAAGAATGAGGGGAAAGGTGGAACAACAACAACAAAATCTGTGAAACTCCCCTCCTTCATAAGTGAACTCAGATTAAACATCTGCATGGACTAAAACTGACTTCTTTCTTTCATATTAAGAAATAAGTAAACTTAGAAAAGTTGGATCAGTTTGCTAAAGACACAATTTCTACATTCAAAGAGCAAAGGAGTTGGGTAAACTTATAGTGAGAAAGATTCCACTTCTACAGGTTTTCTATCAACCACGAATCCAAGTGTTACCAGAGTTCGTTTTGAAGCTGAACTAAAGGGAAAAAAGAACCCTAAACTGCTCTCTCCAAGCTGGGTACATTCTGATCATTTCAAACCCCTTATAATGTTTAGTGAAAAAACTCAAGCTGAATAGTATGATCACATTTTTATAATAAGAACAAAAAAATTTAAAAATATATTTGTGTGTGTATTTTCATGGGGAAAAAATGAAAGATATACAGCAAACCATTCACGGTTATCACCCCATGAGAGTGAAAGTTACAGCACAGAGAAGAAAGGCATAAAGGCATATTTTCACTTTTAAAAAAATTTCCGTGCTATTTCCTTTTTTCTCAATAGTTACTTTGCAATTTAAGTAAAAATTTAAGTTGTTATACAGCATTCTAATGAGTTTTAATATACACACAGTGCTTTCCAGTCACAGCCTCTAAGGTTCTCATTTGCGCCAGCTTGGGGACTGCAGGGGCCTCCAGGAGTGAACCCGGGAGAATTTCAGTTCCTGGAAAAGCCCCATTACATAAGCTCAGAAAAGCAACAATTGATGATACTTTATAGGGACAACTACAAGCCTGTTCTGTAGATAAATGTGGCATGAATTTATCCCTTGAATGTAGGATAAATATCTACTTTTGCATTTGAAGTCATTCTGTATAAATGAACAAATAATGTTTCTGAAACACTATATTCCATATGACAACACACAGTTCGTTTGATACATTTCTGAAACGGAGTTAAATTCTCTCTGATATTGCCTGAGAACACAGAGAAAAGCCATCTTTTTTCCTTTTCTAATATTCTTCAGAGAATAAACGCTGCACATGCTGGATCTGATCGGAAACTGCCAGTCTGTGTGGTCTTCTATCCTGAATACATGCCATTACTTTTGATTTTAGATGGGCCATACTTTTCATGTAAAATACTTCCAGAAGGCTACAGGAAAATCATCTTTGATGTATGGTTTATAAAAAGCTAAATATGAGAATGTGCACTTTTTTTTTACTCAATTATAGTCATTTGTATAAGGGTCAAAAGAGTAAAATCTATGCTGTAGATCCTTGCTAATAAAAGTGTGGTCCATGAACCAGCAGCAGCGGCACCCGGGAGCTGGTCAGAAATGCAGAATCTCAGGCCCCACCCCAGATCTACTGAATCAGAAACGCATTTTCACAAGATCCTCATGTGATTCCTATGCTGTAGACACAATTATGGTAAATATTCATGATATTTAAAAGTATGAGAACTCATGTAAAAAAGGATAAATATTTTAAAAGTTCATTTCCAATAATCCAGCGCTCTTGTTCTAAATATGCTACCAGAATCAAAGAAACAATGATAAAATGCCATTAAAATAAATAAAATTGTATCAAATGTTCTGCATAATTTAAAAGCCCTGACCAATCAGCCACTTTAGTCCATTATTAACAAATCAAAATTTTAATACAAAGAAAACTGATGGGTATTTTCTAGGGTCTTATACAAGTAACTCATTCCAAATATTTTTTAGCTAATACATGGAGACACTTTAAAACATGGTGCTTAAAAATAGTACTAGCCACCTTCTGGGCTGTTTAATGGTGAAATAACTTAGTCTGTATACTTTGAATGCAATTCAGATACTACATAGATGTTAAGAAGCTAAATTAACAAAAAATGTACATCATGAAATATCACCTCACTTGACGGCTTTAATAAATTTTTTCCACTGAAATACTTGTAACCATGGCCTTCAGTTTGAAGAAAAATTTTAAACACAATGAAAGGTGGAAAGGTTTCACCACTAAATCTGAAATAAAGACCAAAAATTAGTCATTTGGCATCAGATTTGGGACTCAGTTACTTCTTCCCCTTGTACTTAAGGTGGTTCACATAGTTTCTTGCACCCAGGGTAAAGGCTATGCCAGAGCATAGAATGAACTGGTAATGAAACGGATTACACAGGATGAAAGAGGCACATTGTGGTGTGTGTGCTCACAACTATTCTCAAGCATATGTCAGACCAGACACATCATGGAAGAAGAGAGCCACTTTCAAGTAAATTTTGGCCCAAGAGTCATGCCTCAGTTTCTTCACATAATAAACGTAAATAAGAACAATACATTTACTTTGTAATTATATCCTGAGAAGTTATGAGGACTTAAGAAAATAAATTTCTAAGATTTCTTCATATTAACTAAGTACTGCTTGAAATAAATCATCATAGAAACATTACCTGAATCTAACTTTACACTTCATGCTAGGATCTTTAACAAGCTCAGCCTCTAAGGGGCTCACTTTCTTCAGTATTTCATATGACACAAAATGCTCCTGAAACAGACGATGATACTATAAATGGAAAGTGGTACCCTGCCCAGACACAATTTACTGAAAATAACAGAGATGGCATGGTAAAGTGAAAAGTACACCAGACCTAGAGTTCTGAAGACCTGGGTTCTAGTCTTGGCTCCTCCACTTATCATCTGTGCAGCCTTGAGTCAGTTACTTCACCCTTTTAGCCTCCAAATTTGAGGATGTGCCCCTCCTTGAGATCCCAGGCACTGTTCTTTCCCTATGATAACACTTTTCACAATGTATTGTAATTAACTATAAACTCGTCTGTGTCTCTTATTTGACTATAAGCTACATGAAGGTAGGCGCAAGTCTTTCTTCTTTACCACTGTATTCCTAGCATCTAGTACAGTGCCTGGAACACAGTAGGTGCTTAACAAGTGTTTGATGTTGAATGAATCATGTAAAATGAGGATGATAATATTACTAGCTTTTAAGCACCTTTTACATAACACATACTACGTTAGGTGCCTTATAAACATAACCTCATTTAATCCTTACGACTCAGCAATGTTACCCAAATATTATCATTCCCATTTTACTGAGCAGGCTGAGGCTCTGGGAGTGTTTGACACTTATCCAAAGGCATACAGGTAGTAAATGGGGAAGCGAGGATTCAAACTTAAATCTGTTTGACTCTAAAGCCCCTACTCCCCACCCCCATAGGATGACCCTGCCCAATCTTTATGCCTATGACAATCAAATAAAAATATATGCCAAAGGGCTTTCGAAATGACACAGCATTATTAATGTAAGGTAGTAACTTGAAGTGTTAGGATAACACATGAAAAAAAGAATCAATTTCCTTTTTTCTGTTACTAAAAGAGTCTAAAATTATGACAAAACCAGTATTATGATAATTAAATACAAATTCCATAAGTGAAGACAATGGATCCGAAATGTCATGAGTTTACCTGGGTGGGATTTCTCTGAGGTACTCAGCTTTACCGACATCAGAAATGGGTCTGCTGGTCAGATGGTGAAGAAGTGTACACATTGCTCGAACTTTGTGATTTTTTTCAGACCTGCTAAAACTCCCTTAATATGATTATTGCTAATTATAGACTACTGTAATCATGGGTGATTTTACTAGGAGAATATTTGGTACTATATGAAGGAAGGCTTAATACTCTGCCAAGGTTGCCAGAGTTGTTTTTTTGGAGAGTGGGGCCATATGCATCTTTTTTGTGTGTTTTTTTTACTCAGATAGGACCATATTATTCATACCATTCTGCACTTGCCTTTTTCACTAACGAATTATCTTAGCTATCTTTATACTGCAGAATCCCATGCAGGGCTGCAAGGTTTAACACTATGAAAGCACTAACACTTATTTAACCAGCATCCTATCAATAGGCATTATGTAGTTTACTCTCTTTGTTGTTACAAACAATACTGCAATGAAATTGTACATATATTGTAGAATGGATTTCTAGAAGTGAAATTGCTGGGTAGAAGGTAAGGGTACTTTTAATTCAGAGATTTTTATTGTTGGAAGATCACTCTCTCACATCTTCAAATAAGAAATCAAATTTTTAAAAATATCATATTGGTTTCAGAAAAAGAAATTAGTCACCCATGTTAAGCATAAATCCAGAAATATTCATTTAAGGCTAACCAAAGAAGCAATCCCAGAACCCCATGCGATATTATTAGATTCAAATAGGAGAGATAAAAAGGTTATATATTCCATTTCTACTTAACAGACCTTTTAGCTTAACAAGTAATTGAATGTCAGAGAAAACAAAAAGGAAAATACATACCGCTGCACATATTGTGTGCTTTAGGAGTTGAAATATTGTTTTGTCCATGTGAGATAACCAAGCTCTCTGTATCTTTTGAGCTGAAATATTTTTTTTAATTCTGAGAGGAAAAAAAAGAGGCTGAGATTTATGAAATATTTTTTGTTTTCCTAAAATCTTGGGGAACTCTGAATATGCTTCCTCTTCCTGCACCTCCCCATCCCCCACCCTAAGACTGATCTAATGAGGAACATTTGGATGTGGTAATTGGAACTGGTCATTTGCAGAATCTAGTCAGAATGAGGATATGAAATATTTGATAATATTTCCCTTGAGATCAAAAAACAGTCCTGGCTGAAACTTTATCATCAAAAGGCATATATATTATAAGTAAAAAGTGTGAGGCGACAAACTTGTTTTCTAAAAACATCCACGACCTAAAATGATTCCATTATGGTTAGTTCTTAAAAACACTGTCCAACTAGTTCAAGTGCTATGAAAATAGAATGTGGAATAGTCAAAGTTACAGTAGGTCCAATTCTCTTCTAGGAGCAGATGACCACGTCCTAGAAAAAGAAACTCCTTTCTCTGATCTTTGCTTGAACCAGGTTTATCCCAGTCGCGTTAGAGAATTATTCAACTTTAAATCACGTCCCAGCACTGGCAGACTGTAGGGCTCTCCCTCTCTGAGATCACCCCACCTGGTCACTACCCCTCACAGGGCTATATGCAAAGAGAGGTAGGTACTCCTGTATAATGTCACCGTTCGTTGGTTGGTAAAATGCAGACTACAAGATGTTTGAGTAGAAAAGGTCTGAAGTATGGAAGCAAATCTTGGAATCCTAGCTGATGCCATTTATTAGCTGTTTCACCTTCTGCAAATCACTTACCTTCTTCCAGTTGCTGCTTCCTCATTTATAAAATGTAATAATAAGATTGCTTCACCAGGTTGTGTCAGGATCAAAGGGATGTGTGTTAACATGCTTTGTAAATTATGAAATACTATAATTATAATAATTATTATTCAATTCAAAAGTAATTTTAAAACACAAAAACCTCTAATTTACAGAACAAGAAGTGTTTGATGTTTGCTAGGTAGATACCGTTGGGAAGCTGTCAGGTTGTGGATAATGATACAAGACGATAGATGGCTACTTACTGTTGTGTTGTCTTTGTCTTTATAACATTTGGCATATGTACTTTGCGGCCTTTTCCGGAACGTGGATTACCTGATTTTGAAACACCAGTAACTGACATCTTTGAGGAACGATTCATTTTCCGTACAATGAAGTACTCTGAAAGTACATAAATTAAGCATTTGAGGTCATAACCTGTATTATTACACCGGACGAGACTCAAGTGCCATTTGATTGTTGCGTTAATTCCAGAATCCCTTAAAAAGGAAGGCATTGTGGATCTCTTAATGTTGCTTACAGTTTACATTCTCCACATTGCAGCCGAAATTAACTTTTTAGAGCAATAATCCAACCTTATCACTCCCCAACTTAAAATCTTTCAAGGACACCTCATTTCCTCCAAAAAGAGGTCCAGACTCCTTAGAATGGCATTCAAGTCTTTTCACAATCTAGCTCCATTCTCTCTTTCAAATCTCAAAATACCAACTTTCATCAGCATTCCTCTCCATGCTCTGTGAGAACAAGAACTTCTTGCCAAAATCATTCAATGTTTTACAACTCTGTGCCGCTGATCATGCCATTTCCTCAACCTGGAATGACTTCTCTACCACTAGCAAAAATCAATTCATCCTTCAAGACCCCAGTTATCTGATGCCTCATCTCTGAAGTTTTCCACCTTCTCTTTTTTACAGACCTGCTCACTCCTGTCTCCAAGGTCCCATAATACTGTATACATTTTTCTTTTACAGTACTTGTCCTATTGTATCATATTTGTTTTCTTGGCTGTCACTGCAACAAGCTTGCTGAGGACAGGAGACATCTTGCTAAGTATGGAATCCCCAATGCCTAGCAGAGTGGAGGGTTTTTACATGCTTGCCTAAAAACTTTCCATTTGGTTTTATCATGGAATAGCTGTGAGACTTTGGGTAAGCCCCTTAACCTCTCAGTAGCTCAATAACCTCCTTGGCAAAGTGAGAGGGTATGTCCTTAATCTGATTCTACCTCTGACTTTCAATCCTTTGACATGTTACTCCAATTTGGATGCGGCTCCCAAATTCTTAGTCTCTGCTTAGTCTCCTCTACTAAACCAGAGGCTCCTTATCTTTTCTTTTGGTGCCATGGACCCCTACAGACAGACTCTTTCTAAGAACTATACTTTTTTAAATACTTAACACAAAATACATAGGATTACGAAGGACTCCAATTATATTGAAATCATTGTCAAAATATTTTCACAAACAAAATCACAGAAACGTGTCTTCTTTATGCACTAAGTAAAACGAGAGCTCTAATAACTACGGTACTTGTGAAGTGGTAGTGAGCAGAAAGGAAATTTCAAGAAATCTGCCATAACTGTAATGTGACAGGGAAATATCCGTGCTTTCTATTGACGACAAAGTCGCAGGTACTGCTGATACTACTGTGGTTTCTGCCTACACTACAGTTGAAAGAAATGCTAAAGTTCAGTTAGAGGTTAATGAAAATAAAGCTGCAATTTTTTCCCCCATCCAAGCTCACACACCCCTTGAATTAAGAACTCCTGCCTTAATTTATCACTATACTTCACACTTTTATATACATATGACATTCCATTACCAATGCAGAGCCTTCAGAGTCTACTCGATATTTCTCCTTAGGGATGGGGATGGCTTGGAATATACAATTCTCATGAGAAAAAGAAAAGCAGCCCTTAACACCTGGGAGCTGGCCTGGCACTCACAGCTGGGCTTTGGCGTTACCCAGCTTCCTAACAACACCCAATCCAGAGCAAAGCCCCCTTTCCTTGAATGCGCCCCCAAATCACCCAACAAAAGCCCAAATCCTATAATAAATCTTTGTAACACCCTCTTACTGAGATGCCCCACTGTTTCCCAAGGTGTGAGTTCTCCTCGCAGCAATGAGAAATAAACACAACTTGTTCAACTATAGATGTGTTCCTAGTGGTCCTTGGCTGGAGGTCAGTGACACGCCATCACACAAACCCCCGAAATCTTCCGATGCCTGCCTGGATGGGTTTACACTTTTTATGGGGTTAGGACGTGAAACAAAGAATGAAATATGAAACACTCCCATTATGAGAGACTATCATCATTGTTTAGGCAAGATCGCAGGCTTTAAAGGCAAACTAGCTGGTTTTGGATCCTGGCTTCCCACTTTCCTTCTGTGTGGCCTTGTAAATTACTTCTCTGTGTCTCAGTTTCCTCTTCTATTAGATTGGGAATAATAATCGTACCCACCTACTCGGGTTGTCGGAAAGATTAGATGAATATGTTTAAGGAGCTTAGATAAGAGCTGGGCACATAGTAAACGCTGGGTTAGTGCTCGCTATTCTTGTTCACAAGCTAATTATTGTCATTATTACTTATTTCTACTAGTATTAAGGGACAAACATTTAATTCTCAGTGAGGGGCATACGCCTAATTATTTTAAAGAGAAAAAAATCAGGGCCTTCCGAGGCTAAAGGACGTGACAAACTAGTTTAAATTTAAAACCTTAGAAACGTCCAGCCGACAGTAAAGAAAAAAAAATATATATATATGAAAACCTTTCGTGAGGTAAATCCAGGCCCCGAGGTCAGCGGCTTCCGGTAGCGAGGCTTTCGAGGCCGCCCGAGGCCCACCGAGCGCCCCCGCCCGGCGGCGCCAGCGCACAGAATTCCCAGCCCAACGCCGCCCGGCGCCCAATCGCCGCGTCGAAAGCCGATTCCCAGCGCTGCGCAGCGTCCGGCGCCTCCCTCCTCGCGCCCCCGCGTGCCGCCCACACGGAGCTGCCGCTTTCCCGCCGCCTAGCAACCGCCGGCGCAGGGGCGGAGCCTCCTGTAGGGCGGGGCTTGCGTTTTCTCGCCAGGGGCGCGGCGCTGTGCCGCTCAGCGACGCCGCTTCCAGCCCAGGCTTCCGAACTAAGCTTTCGCAGGATCGAATTGGCTGTACGACCAGCCGTCACCGGCACCGCGGCCCGCCTGCGGTGCAGGAATCAGGGCCCTACCCGGCCGCCGTATCCGCCTCTCTGTAGTGGGCGGGGCCGGGACAGGGGTGACCCAGCCGGAACCGCCGCTGCCAGCAGCATGTTCAAGGTGAGAGCGTGGAACCGGGTCACCGCTGTCACCGCCCCCTCTCGGCCTCCCGGAGCTCTCCTAGAGCCCTCGTGGGCCTCTCTGGGGGTCAGGCCCGGTTCACCCCGAGGCTTTTCACGCCTTCGAGCCGGCTGCGTCCCAGTCCCACTGTTCATTCACTTGTCCGCTGGGAGCAAGCAGCTGCCGGGCGGAGGCGTGAAGCCCCGGGATGGGTGGGGGAGCTCTTTGGATCGTGCTCTTGTGAATAAAACACTTTGAAAAGTTAAAGTACCCCCCAAAGTCTCCACCCCGCCCCCCACCCCGGCTGGTGCCCTCTTGGGTTCGTGGGTAGGGTGAGGCCGCAGGGTTCGGCTTTCGTTGCCTGGCAGGGTCAGGTTTCAGAACCTGGTGTGTGAATGGGGGAGGGTCAGCTTTGGAGAAGCTGCTGCAGGATGTGGGGGAGGCTGGCCTGGGAATGGCTGGGTGAGGGGGGAAGCTGAAGCTTTGCCCCCCCACCAGTGAGCATTATTTAGTATGGACAAGTCGACCCTGTTTACTTTTATGAACTCATGTCCTTTGAAAGAAATCGACTTTTACAGTGAAGACTTTGTACGAAAATCTGTGTTTAAACACGAAGCCATTATTCTACTACTTAAAAAAAATTTTCTATTATGAAAAACAAATCACAAGCTACCAGAAATTAGTCTACAAAATTGAGTCTTCAAGAAGCATAGCACCCATAAAATAATGCTAATGGAATTTCAAAATTGGTCTACTCATTTAAAAGTTTTATTGAGCTCCTGCAATGTGCTTTGGGCACATTAATACAGTCTGTAAAATCAGAACATGGATTGTCTTCCAATCTTGGCATAGCCACTTTTTAGCTGTGTGACCTTGGGCAAGTCACTTAACCTCTCTGTGCCTGTTTTTCTATAGATGATATTGGGGGACTAGCATCTTTCTTTTAGGGTTGTTATAAGGAATAAATAAGTTAGTATGTGTAAAGCACTTGGAAGAGGCCCTGGCACATAGAAGTGCCGTCTAAGTATTTTATTTTGTTTCCAGGCAGCTCACAGTTTAGTCAGGATGACAGATCCCATAAGCAACTTGCATTCATTTGATAAATTTGTGTTGAACACCTGAGCTCAGCTCGGTTTTAGGGTTGAAACAACAACGGATATGCTATGATCAGCTTACATGGGTATCAACAATGTATGGTGTTAGTAAAAAAGAGAGCAGGCTCTCCTCTGCCTAACTAGGGGTTCTTAACCTGTGGTTCTCAGTCCCTCAGAGCGTCTAGATAGAATTCAGGGGGTTCCTGAGCTCTGATGGAGAAAAAAAAAATCTTTGTTTTCACCAGTCTGCAACTGAAATTTAGCATTTCCTTCAGTTATAAATGTAAGTAACTATGTCAGTTATCTTGCTGGATAATGAACCATTGCAACTCAGTGCTTTAAAACAACAATGATTTATTATTTCTCACCATCTATGAGTTGGCTGGGCAGTTCTGTTGGCATCCCCCCAGGGCTGCATTTAACTGGTGGCTAGACTACAAGGTGGCGTAACTCCCATGTCTGGGAGCTTGGTGCCCCTCATTGTGCCTAACTTGGGTTTCCTCGCATGGTTACTGGGTTCCAAGAGGACCAGTCCCAATGCCTGCTTATCTGCTTGCATCACATTTGCTGATGTCAAAACAAATCACATAGCCAAGCCCAGAGTCAGTATGGTGGGGGACTACATAAAAGCATGGATATGAGGAGGTGTGGTTCGTTGGGAGTGATTAATTTAATAAGCTACTACAGCAGCAAACTACAATAGTATTAGCAGTACCTGTCATCAGTAGAAGTCAGAGCACCAATGCATGTCACGGACATTTTCATATCACATTATGCTTGTTGCAGATCTCAGAATACCATTTATGCTCATCACTACTTCAAAATTACAGTAGTTCTAAGACACGGTTAGATCTTTTTATTTAATGAGCTAATAAGCACATATTACTGTATCAGACTTCGAGTTTTAAAAATATTTTTACAACTGTTGTAATGTAATTGGTATTTTATGCAATTAGAAGTATTATTTTGAGAAGGGGTCCACAGGGCTCACCAGGCCACCAAAGAGGTCTATGGCACAAAAAAGGCAAGGAACTCTTGGGGACTTAGTGGAGGCTTCACAGAGGAGACATTTAAATTTAGTTCTGAAAGACAAGTCACAGTTCCTCAGGTGGATGAGCCGGGAGACATTAGCAATGGTACTCCGTTGGAGGAAGGGCCAGTAGCTCAGTTCTCCTGTGTCAAGGGGAGATACAGTGAACTGGAGTTATTCAAACTTGTAGTTTGAGTAGAAAAGATCACAACAAACCTTGGTGGACAACAAAATGTAAGGAATAGGCAGGGGTAAGAGGGAAGACCAGAGATGTTTGAGAAGTAAATTTTGCTAAGTAGAAGTAGGAGCATAAAAGAGTGATGTTTAGAAAATCAAGAGAGGGAAACTGCATGGAGGACAGGCTATGTTAAGATGCTTTCAGCTGGGAAAACCCAATTGCTTGAATAGTAAGGAAAGTTATCTCACAAAGTCCAGAGGAATGTTGGACTCCAGTGGGGCAACAATGGAGCTGGTCTCTTTTCTTGGCTTTCCATAGTAAGATTGTTTCCCTTATGGTTGCAAGATGACTGTCAGTAACATGCAGTTTCCCATTCACTAGAGCAAGAGAGAGGACAAAACTCCCAGGCTTGGATTATGTTCTTCCTTCAGTCTGATTGGACCAACTTAGGTCAGATGTCTGCCCCTGATCCAGTAGCCTGTGCCAGGGGAATACCGTGCTCTGATTGGCTTAGACTAAACAGGATCAGCTGGGGATGGGGTCACTTTATCTTAATCACATGGGAGAGAAGTGAATTCATGAACATAATGGGGGAATGGAGACTGGATGTGCAACCAACAATGTCCGTTACAGAAAGATGAATTACATGACTTTGGAGATGTGTTTGTTTATTTGGGCAATTTAGACAGCTTTCATGGTCTTTATACATGTGGGTTTACTGATGGAAGTGAGAGCTAAATTAATATGGGTTGGTGACTGCGAGATGAGTAAATGAACACAACGGTGGGATTGATAAGCTTAACTGTCAAGGGAAGAGAGAGAATATGGTAACTAGAGGGACATGTTGGGTCAAGATTCTAGAGTTGTTTTGTGGTTGTTCCAGTATTCAAGATTTGGCAATGTTTGTGACCAGGGGGGAGCTTTTATAAGAGAGAATATCTCAGCTTTAAAAAGTAGGAGAGAGATTTCCTTCCTCTTGTGAGATGGAAGCAAAAGAAGGGTGGGAGTGTTTGTAGACCAGTGGTTCTCAACTGGATGGTACCACCCGCTTGTGGTGCGTTTTGGAAAGTGGGTTGTTCTTCACATTTTTAATTTAGTTTTGTTGAACATTTATATGCTGAAGTATAGTTCTTATTGTAAATCTTTCCTTTTTGTTTTCCACTGTGTTAGCGTCAAATCAGTGTACTTGTCTCTCTTTTGGACTTATGTGTGTAGGTGGGTGATGAATTTTATTTCAAGATAGCAAAAGAGTTACTTAGAAAAATATTTGTCCTAAAATGGCAGTGTTAGGTCTAGTAACTGAGAATCAGTGCTTCTCCAACTTAAATGTGCGTGTGATTCTTGTTAAAATGCAGATTCTGATTCAGTAAGTCTGAGATGGAGCCTCAGATTCTCCATTTTTTTAACATTCTCCTGGGTGATAGAGATGCTGCTAGTCCTCCATCATACTTCGAATAGCAAGAACTGGGGCAAATTGGTAGATGAATGGTTTCTTGTGTTTTCGAGATGAGTGATTTTATGACATGGTGAGGTTGGAAGAGGTGCTGACCAAGGAACCAAAAAGATAAGTGAGAGGCTTTGAGGGCTCTGCTGAGAGCAGCGACGGGAGGTCTATCATGGTCGCAGCCTGGGAGTAGGGAAGAGCAGATGGTAGGATTGATCTGGGTTTGAGATTTGTCAGCTTGGGTCAGCTAGGACTGGAGGGCGAAGTTGTTGATAGTATAGTTGGTGGTGGAAAAAGTACAGTGTGTGTGACCAGTTATGTGCATATACAGTTAAAATATTTATCCTGTAACCATTGTTTAAATTTAGCTGGCTATCTTCACGTCACTAGGGGGCACTGGTGGATTAAAAAACACATTCGAAAAGCTGCCCAGTATTTGCATTCTATTGTAGGAAGCAGCTTTTCCCAGTGCTGCCACAGGAAGCTTGAATATTGAATATATACACCCAGTCCCCAGATTCCTGTTACTAGATTTCATCCATTACACAAATGTTTAGCACAGTTCAGCTATGGACCTGGGCACTGTGCTGTACCCTGGTAGGTACAAATGAAAAGCCCCAGTTCTTACCTAGGAGAGAGTTCCTAAATTTGGCCGCACATCAGAATTATTCAAGAAACTATTTCCAGGGCCCTGCCCATGGTTCTGATTTAGTTTTTAAGTGAGGTACAGGAACCTGTAGTTTTGAAAAAGCCCCCCAGGTGACTATGAAACTTCTGTTTCAGGAGCTCACAATGCAGTTAGCGGCACAGACATACAGTCCGTTCCGATGCAGTGGGATAAGCACTTTGATGTAAAAGG